CCTCCCGGGTTCACGCCATTCTCCTGCCTCAGCCTCCCGAGTAGCTGGGACTACAGGCGCCCACTACTGCGCCCAGCTAATTTTTTGTATTTTTAGTAGAGACGGGCTTTCACCGTGGTCTCGATCTCCTGACCTTGTGATCTGCACGCCTCGGCCTCCCAAAGTGCTGGGATTACGGGCATGAGCCACCGCGCCCGGCCGGCATTTATTTTTGACTTAGCCATTTTCACTGGGACAAGGAGGGGCTGGAAGGTCATGGACATAAATGTTGAGGGTCAGAGGGCTGTGGCATCTGATGTTTAGTCGCTTAGTGTACGGTGGTATTGCCTGATCAGGGGACCTTCCTCTTGTATGTATTTTCAAATGTCTTCTTTTTTTCAGTTCATCAATAAGATAATGATCTGTGTACTCATGCTCCCAAACTTTCCTGTAGGAATCATTGTCAGGATGAGGGAAAAAAACAACAGGATGGAAGCTCTATGTTCAAACTGTCAATCATTTTAAAGAAGACAACAGCACAAACATTCACTGATTTTCAGCAAAATGAAAAGTTGGCAGCTTATGCCTGTTTTTTCAAATTATAGACACTTTTGACTCTACATTAATCTGTAATGATAATACTGCTAAGATCATAAATGATGCATTAAAAAGCATGTGGGAGGCCAGGCACGGTGGCTTATGCCTGTCATACCAGCACTTTGGGAAGCCGAGGTGGGCGGATCACTTGAGGTCAGGAGTTTGAGATTAGCCTGGCCAATAGGGCGAAACCCCATCTCTACTAAAAATACAAAAAAAACACAAAACAACAACAATAACAAAATTAGCCGAGCGTGGTGGTGCATGCTTGTAATCCCAGCTACTTGGGAGGCTGAGTGAGAGACTAGAGAATCACTTGACCCCAGGGAGGTGGAGGCTGCAGTGAGTCAAGATCACGCCACTGCACTCCAGCCAGGGCAACTGGGTGAGACTCCATTTCAAAAAAAAAAAGCATGTGGGATTACAATTTTTTCCCTATCCTGCTTAAAGTGTGTGGAAAGGGTGTAGTACCTTACTGCTTCATTTGTGTGGATGTGTCCTGACTTGTAAAAAAGATTTTGTCTATCAGTAAACAGAGCATGTTAGTGTGTAGAAGTAGTTTGTATGGTCTAGGAATTAGTTTATATAAAACATACACGGAGGAAAGAAGACAAAAATTATAGTAGTATTACTACTTTGCACTTTGATTGCACTTTTGAGATGGCATGCCCAAAAATGTTCTAAACACTTTAGTATTAAAAAGCAATTAAATAATTTTGAACTATTAAGTCACAAAGATATGTAGTCTTCATATGGGTAAAACATTCATTTCCTCACAATTAAAACATAAAAAGATGTCATCTATAGCCTCAGAGTGTTGTGAGCATATATGCCAAGTTCTGGTTGAGGGAAGGCATTGACATTTTCAAATATATACTTGTAGGTAGCTTTTAGAATTCTAGGCAGAATAACAATCCAAGTCTTATTTCATTACTTGTAAGCTAATGAATCTTACTACCTCATTTCATGTTTCACTGCTACTATTTTCATGTCTCAGCAGCATTTTTGCTATTTAAACAGGCAGGCAGGGATGAGATGAAAACCAGCTCACATATGTTCTTCCTACCTTTCAAACTAAAAGGACCAACTACGTGTGTTTAAAGCTTTTTATGAGAAAGCAGTTACCAAAAACGAATAAAAATTTCAGAAACTACAGATACTTCCAGACTTTAATATTTGAACATGATCTTGCAGTTTTGTTCTATCGAATATTGCTTCAGCTACATCAAACTGAAAGATTTCTGTCCAAAAGAGGGCACTATAATCTGGATTAGCACATAGTGACAAACTGGGAGAAGTCATTTGATTGCAAATCTCTAAAATACAGAATAATAGACTAAAAACCTATAAGAAATTTCTTCAACAATAACAACCAAAGATAGAGGAAGCCAAATTGCAAAGGATACAATACACAATTAGCTGAATAGAAAATGCAAATTATAAATGAGAGATACCAGCCTCACTAATAGTGAAATACAAATTAACCCAACCACAACATAATGCTTTCTGCTCATTCTATCAAGTTGACAAAAATTAGAACGACAGAATATTCAGTAATGGCAACAATGTGGGAAGCAGGAACCCACATGGACTGCTGGTAGGAGTCTCAAGTGGTGGGATCTGGCAGTGCTGAATGAAACTGCCTGTTCTTACATGTGAAATCCAGTAATTCTACTCCTAATACATAGTCCCAAGAGACTCCCACACAGGTCCATAGGGATATGCATATGAGGATTAAGTGAGTACAACAGGGTGGTGGAAAATGTGTACCAGTTAGAATCAATAAACTAGATGTACACAGAGGCAAACGGACAGTTCCACCTCCAAGCCCTTAACTTACTTTAAGAGCAGGTTCTACCTGCTGGTTACCTCGCTCTGATCATCAGCTATGTGAGGCATACATTTCTGCAACACTATTCACAATGATATACTTACAACATCTATAAAACGAAGAGACTTGAAAGTTGCTCCAGGCGGGCATCCCATTGCAGACAGACAAGGATAATGGCCTTCCTCCAACACGTATTGATTACCAGTGAAATTTTCTCCATCATATACAACCCAGCTACAATGGGAAAAACCACACACATGCACAGAGTATGCAACTTGAGTACTCCTATTCAAGAAGTCTGATTTTTAGAGGCAGCCTGCTATAAAATAAACACAATGCTTATGGCAAACAGAGTTCTTTCTTCAAAAATATTTGGATATATTTATTGCATTTCTGCTTGTGGCAAATTAATATTCATAAGACAGTTAACTTTGCATTTGGGAAATAAACTTCTTTCTCTATGTTCTTTCTGACTTCCCCAGCCTCCAGCCTTCCTTGCACTTCTCATGGGTGCCACCTTTTGCCCAGCCAGTGGAGCTTCAAGCCCTCAAGTCCTCTTTGAATAATCCTTCTTCAAGCTTCGTGACTAGTTAATCACCAAGGTCTATTGATTTGGTCTATTGATTTCCTTCCAAAATTTCTCACACACTCCTCTATCCTCATTTCTAATACCTCTGCACTGGGCCAGGAGTCAAAATACTATAGTGACTTAAGTCACTTAGCCTCTCTGGTATCAACATTATTCATAAAATGGTGATTTGCCATGCTTCCCTAGAAGTTTGTGGGTTTTTTTCTTTTTATTTTCTTTTTCTTGGAGGCTAGGGGGGTGGAATCTCGCTCTGTCACCCAGGCTGGAGTGCAGTGGCGTGACCTCGGCTCACTGCAACCTCCGCCTCCCAGTTCAAGTGATTCTTCTGCCTCATCCTCCTGAGTAGCTGGGACTACAGGTGTGTGCCACCACACCCAGCTAATTTTTGTAGTTTTAGTAGAGACAGGGTTTCACCATATTGGCTAGGCTGGTCTCGAACTCCTGACCTCATGATCTGCCCGCCTCAGCCTCCCAAAGTGCTGGGATTACAGGTGTGAACCACCACACCTGGCCTTGTTGTTGTTTTTAACCCAACAAATGCCTTTTGAGGATTGTGTGCCAGGTACTTTTCTATTGCTGGGGATACAGCAGAGAACCAAAGTCCCTGCTCTCCTGAAGTTAATACTCTAGTGAGCTGAGACAGGTAATTTTCAACGTGCACAGGACTGGTGGTAATAAATGAAACAGGCAGGGGATAAAGAGGAGCAGGGACGTGGTAGCACTATGTCCAACAAACTAGGAAGCTTTACTGTCCATCTATGTGTGTGTGTGGTTTTTTTATTTTTATTTTTTTTCCTGAGACAGAGTCTTGCTCTGTTGCCCAGGCTAGAGTGCAGTGGTATGATCTCAGCTTACTGCAATCTCCGCCTCCTGAGTTCAAGCATTTCTCCTGCCTCAGCCTCCCAAGTAGCTGGGATTACAGGTGTGTCACCACACCCGGCTAATTTTTGTATTTTTAGTAGAGATGGGGTTTCCCCATGATGGCCAGGCTGGTCTCGATCTCCTGACCTCAAGTGATCTGCCTGCCTCGGCCCTAAGTGTTGGGATTATAGGCATGAGCTGCTGCGCCCGGCCTCCGTCTATGTATTTGAATGCAAAGTCAGTGCTTTTCTGCTGTGCAATACTAAAGGATAGGATAGCATTATTTCAACCATAAAGAACCACATGATTAAAGGCACTATTACTACTATTATTAAGAGACTTACATCCTCAACACCTCTTGCACAGATTGCTCCAAGGCTTTCCTGACTGAGTTTCCCTGACCTTGGGCTCTCCCCTCCCTATGAAGCTTTTGTACATGGATTGTTTCAGCATGGCACTTTGAGCCCATTGCCTTTGCCCTGCGTCTTGTGTTTCCCATGGAAGCCACCTAAACTCAGTGTGCTCAGCTTTGCTTCTCCTCCCAGTACAAAGCCCTCCCAGCAAGCAGGACTAGTGGCTCCCTGATCCGCATGTCCACCGGCTCCACTCCAGCATGCACTTTCCACCTTCCTGTTAATGCAGAGTGCAGATCCCGTCCTTACCTACCTGGAAACACAATCCTCCTTGAGAGGTACCGTGGATTAACCAGAGCCCATCCCTTTCTAGATGATGGAAAGGCATACAGAGTAAAGAACCTGCTCTGAATTCCATTACACAATGAGATGATCTTCAGCTTCTCCAACCAGCCCAGAAGCCCGTGTCCTCTGGCATCTGGTACTCAGATGTCACAAAGCATGCCATTGGACTAAGATGGTGGTTTCACTTAGTGCCAAGCACCTAGCAGGCATCACTAAATACTTGCTGATGTGTGAATTGTGTTTTACTGCAGTGATTCAGCTCTGCCAGGCCATTGTTTTACTTACCTGCCTCCTGAAACTCTGCAAGACTTGGTAGAAAATGAATCATCAATTTGACTTGTTGTTTCTTCAAAACTTTGACTGTGACCTTGAAACTGTGGTTCTGAAAACAAGTGAATCTTTGAAAAAGTAAACAGAAACACAAAAAATTATTTTCATAAACACATTAACTAATTTAACCTTTGAAATGATGACCCAAACATGACCTGTTAACTTCTGTTACAGTAAACTGGTGTGAATTTTATAAATCCTTTAATTTTCCATGTCTACATTCATGATCAATTAGAAACATGTTAGCTGCACCATTCATGACTATTTATTTAATTCAGAGACATCAAAGTAAAATGCAACAACAGAGGTAACTTTCTATAGAACACCCTGTTGTGAAGCTGTGGGGCATTTCAAAGCTTTATTGTGGCCGGAAGTCATTGTTCATCAGTTCTAACAGTAACAACAAACAGTATTTTGGAAAGACACAGTGTAGTTTCCTTCCTTCTCAATGGAAGATACTTGCTGACTTATCAGAATCCTGTAAATGCCAATAAAGGAGGCTATAGTGGTGTTTGTTCCTCTATAATTATGGCTCTGTGAACACTTCCATTAAAAGGCCTAAATAACAAATGTACACTCCAGTTGATGTTAAGAATCAGCATTCAGAAAGCTTGAGCGAGACCATATAAAATGTCTAGTGCCGACACAGCAAATATGAAAATTCATTTTACCATCACAATAACTAGATGCTATTGTTTGAAATATTAATCTCAATGTATTAATGTACACTCTCAGTCAATGTAATGATACAAAATTCAGCTTTATACGATAAGAGCATTTTATAAGAAGTATTTAGACATGGGTCAGTACTGTCAATTAACCATTAAAGTAAATTTAAATCTTATTTTTTAAATACAATTATGGTTTCAGGCATAAAAATGGGTAAAACTAACAAAATGTCCCAAATGTCTGATTTTCTTTTTTTTTTTTTTTGAGACAGAGTTTCTCTGTGTCACCCAGGCTAGAGTGCAGTGGCGCAATCTCGGCTCACTCCAACATCTGTCTCCTGGGGTTCAAGCAATTCTCCTGCTTCAGCCTCATGAGTCGCTGAGCTTATAGACAGAAGCCACCATGCCCACTAGTTTTTGTCTTTTTACTAGAGACAGGGTTTCCCCATGTTGGTCAGGCTGCTCTTGAACTCCTGAACTCAAGTGATCTGCCCACCTTGGCCTCCCAAAATGCTGGGATTACAGGCGTGAGCCACCATACCCAGTCCCAAATGTCTGACATTTTAAACATAAGTTCAGTTTTTCAGTGGAAGGCCCCTCATATATTAATATAAAAGAATATTTTTAAAGTTACCTGATTTCGTCTCCTTGGGCCAGTGAAAGAATCCTAAAAATTTTTAAAGGAAGGAGAAAAGGAAATGAATAGAACAAACACATTGAAAAAGTTTTTTTCTTCTAGATTATTAACAATTACTGCTAAAAATAAACTCAGAATATTTTCCACAGCAATTATTATTACATGAACCAGTAACACACATTAAGGAAATCCAGAATTCAGTTAAATATTCTCATGCAAAAATATAACTCCTTACCAAACATATAGGTTGAACAGAAGAGATCTTACAATTTTTGCCTCCCCAGTCCTCAAAACTGGAATAAAATCCTTTATCCAGTATATACTGTTCTCCTGTGAAGTCAGGATTTTCATAGGCTACCCATCTAAGAAACAAAAACAATAACTTGTTAGAGTTCATATTTTACATATAAAACGATCACATATTGCAATAACAATGTATCATACAGAAACTTTCATTTGTTTTGCTAATTGAAATTTTAATTTTTCTGATTCTCCATTAACCTTTAGAAGCAGATGGGTTTGTCTACAGGACAAATCAAAATGGTAAGTCAGCGGAGAAAAGGAAACGCTTATACACTGCTGGTGGGAATGGAAATTAGTTTAGCTGCTGTGGAAAGCAGTTTGAAGATTTCTCAAAGAACTAAAGATAGAACTAGTATTCCACCCAGCAATCCCATTACTGAGTATGTACCCGGGGAAAATGAATTATTCTACCAAAAAGATACTTGCACGTGTCTTGTTTACTGCCGCACTATTATCAAGATGTGGAATCAACCTAGGTGTTCATTGATCAATGGTGGATTGGATAAAGAAAATGTGGTACACATAAACCATGGAATACTATACGGCCATAAAAAAGAATGAAATCAAGTCCTTTGCAGCAACCTGGATGCAGCTGGAGGCCACTATCCTAAGCGAATTAATGCAAACAGAAAACCAAATACCAAATACTCATGGCAAGAACATATACTTATGAGCATGTTCTTGCCCATAAATGGGAGCTAAACATTGGTTATGCATGGACATAAAGATGAAAAAAAAAATAGGCACTGGGGACTACAAAAGGGGTGGGAGGGAGGGGGGTTTGAAAAACTACCTATTGCATACTATGCTCACTACCTGGGTGACAGGTTCAACCGTACCCCAAACTTCGGCAAATCATGCAATATACCCATGTAACAAACCTGCACATGTACCCCCTGAATCTAAAATAACAGATGAAAAAAATTTAATGCAAAAGAAATGGTAAGCGTAAGAGTATCTTGACATGAACTTTTGAGTGTCCTCACTTATCCAATGCTATTCCTTCAGAAAGCTACGAAGGCAATACTTCTCTGTGCTTTTTTTGTAATTGTATTCTGAGGAAACAAAACATATAGGACTTTAAAGAAGAACCAGTTCTTTTAATAAACAATCAATAAATCCTTTCATCCTCAACCTTAAAATATTTTTGCAGAAAGATCTTAGGAAGCTGTGTCTATTACACAACAAACCACACTGAAAAAGAAGTTAACAGAAGAAATGCTTTAAAAAATGCAGAACAGAACTAAAATATTGTTTCCAACAGTGTTTCCAACATCACATAAATATGTAATAATTAAATAAAATTGAGCAAACTCACAGAAATACTAAAAATAAATCTCTTTTGGAATGTTTTTTATTTCTAAGTGATCTACACCCAGAGGAAAATCAACAAAACCAATTTAATGATGCTATTTCCTATCCAAAGATAAAAGTCTTTGAAAGGAAAAGGTTTTTCAGTTCTGTTATATTAAAGAGATACTTAATACTGTTATATTAAAGACATCAAGTATCTCCTCAATTAATTCATCACTCTCAGGATGCTCTCAAAGCTTAAAGGAATAATATCTACGTAGGTATTATGTAGAGTGATCAGAACTTTGCAAAATGTTTCCACATCTGTTATCACATTTAATCTTCTAGGGAGGTATTGGTGTTCCCATTTTACAGATGGGAAAAACCTAAGACACAGGGAAGTTAATTCATGCACCAGGTGCCAGGAACTAGACTGGCACTAGACATACAAAGATGAAAAAGACAAAATCTCTGTCCTCCAAAGCCCACAGATGGGTAAGAAGCATCACATGGAATTATGTGTTGGTATTTGTTTTAAGTGGGAAATGACTTGTCCAGGGTGACACCATCGACTGTTGGCCAGCATGTGACAGAACCTACCTATCCTGAGGCTCACCAGGCAGTCCTCGCTTTGTGACCCAACCTGCCATGTGCCCTGGAAAGTTCCCTTTCATTTACTGTTCTAGAAAACCATGTCTAAAACAGTCCACACACTTTCTAATTAGGGCAGATTACGAATTTACTATCCAAAGGGCTGATTTAAACAAAAACTCAAGTACAGTCATTCCTAGAATATGAACAGCCATCAAGGAAAAAAAGAACACTGCCAAGATCTCCAGTGAGAAGGAGCTAATGATAACCAACAGCTGTGCACTCAGTCCCGGCCATCCAAATGGAGAAGCTGCTGTACGTATCACTCAGTCTTTCAGGAAGTACAGTCCCCTACCACCCCCCGATTTCAGAACCTCACTAGCAATTTTTAAAACCTATCCTTTTTTAATTATTATTTTTTATTTTTTTAGTAGAGTCAGGATTTCACCATGTTGGCCAGGCTGGTCTCAAACTCCTGACTTCAAGTGATCCACCTGCCTCATCCTCCTAAAGTTCTAGGATTACCGGCGTGAGCACAGTTCCGGGCCTAAAAACCTATTCCTGATCATTAAGAAGTGAGGAGATAGGAGACCTGGCTCCACCTGTGGTCATGACATTAACTTTCAGATAACTTTGAAGAATTCACTTAACCTTTGTGAAAGTTCATATTTTCAAGTGTCAGTAGGGGAGTGGGCCAAGGTCCCCGGGCTGACCAGGTGATGCTGTACAGCACACGGGTACCCGCATGTGCTGCCTCCGCCCACAGGGCCTCAGGCTTTACCCCCAGCATGAAGGGAAGCAACAGCAAAGCCTGAGCAGGGAGCACTGCTATGTGGGAGGAATGTCTGCACATCAAGAAAATCTACCTTACAAACGCTAGGATTTTAAAAAACAACAACGAACAATTAAAGAAGAAGGGTCACATCGAAAAAAGCGTTCTCAGCAGGGCTCTGGGTCGGTAACAAGCAGAGAGACCAGAGGGTTAAAGGCCTTTCTGTTTGACTTCAAGGTTTGGAGGGAAAAAAGACAGTGAGGAGGGAGGCTGAATGCCAAGGAGAGAAGGCAGAGACTGAGCAAGCCCTGGAAGCAGCTTTAGCCAATACTCTGTTCTTTTTACGAACAAGTATGGGTACTGTGTTTTCCTATGCAACTAAACTACTTGTAAGTAAATACCCCACACCCAGCTAAGCCTATCTCTAATTCACTGAAGCTGAAGCCAGAAAACAATGTATTAAGATGTTACTTGAACTGACAGTAGTGTTGTTTTCCCTCCAAGATACCTGATGAATCAATCACCCACGAACACGGGGGCACTGGGGGAGGGGAGAAACCGCAAAACACAGATCTGAGATTCTTTGCTCTGTGATCCGAAAGTCTACCTACAACTTACACTTGGGGCTCTTAAGAAAATCCCTCACTGTCCTTGTCCGGATGTATTCTGTACACATGAATCAACACTCCTCTGTGTAAAGACTGGTGGGGAGATGGGGGAAAGGCATGTACACAAGTACTAGCAGGTCTCAGCCTGGTGGAATAATTGCTCAGAAGATAAGGGCAACAGGGTAAACCTGCCCTTCCGTGAAAGGCCGAAGGAGAAAGAATTCAAAACAACAACACTTTTCATTTTGATCTGAATACTAGAAATATTTCATTTTGCTCCTCGTTTTAAAAAACTAGCCCAGGTTCTACTCTCTGGGCAAGAATATGGCATAGAACTAGAAACTGATAAGCAGGGAGTTTCTTTCAACATTTCTAGTAAGAAATCAAATGCAGTTCCTAAAAACCTCACTTGCCGGTTTCATGGGCATCCTTCCTGAAGGCTGTTTTCTGTTTCAGGGCTAATGAGTTTACGACCCAGGGGATGTATTACCCATGTGATGGTGACCCTCCTGGGAGATACTTTCATGGAACAAGAGCTTCAGAAGAGTTTTTTTCTGACAATGTGTGCCATACTAAGAAATAAAGAACAAGCTAAAATACTTAATTGCCAATAAAAATAAAGCCATTAAAATACAATAATTTTCCTTTGAAACTGTTAGAAGTGAATAGGTAGTCCTACTCCAACATCTTGGCTCATCTCAGCCTTCCTATCCTATCCCACAGGCCTAACTCCAATGCCATCTCCTCCGCAAAGTCTTCCTTCCCTGTGTCCAGACTGGAAATTAATCTCTGTCTGCTGTGGATTCCCAGAGCATTTAATGTGTACCTCTTTTGTAGCAATAATTATGTTTTACATAAATACTGTAACTTCTTTGAGGACATAATACAATGCTTTGCACATAATAGACCTCAATAAATACTTGTCAAATGACAAATCGAACAAAATATGAGGAAGCAGCTGACTCTGGTAAATACAAAAGCCCTTCCATATGCAAAGAATTTCAAAGGAAGTGGAGTGTGTGTGTGTGTGTGTCCACGTATGTGTATGTACCTCCCTTCAACTTCCCCTTTCTACCAAAACTTAACTGCTACAGATGGAAAAAAAAAAGCTTAAGCCAGGAAATGCAATTAGAAATGACTAAAAATAGAAACATATAATAGCAGCACTTTATAAAGGAAACTGATTTCAAGTAAGCAAGGCCTGGGTAAAAAGGAAAGGAGATTGGCTCAAGGCACAATAATTCTACCTGTGTTAACAGCATCATCTACAAAATGCCTGAGGGAATTCATTCTAGCCAGCATCCTTTTGCTTCCTCTGCCAGGGTGGATGACTGGGCTCTGACTAATAGAACCAGCACAACTGGGGAATATCAAAATGTACAACTGTTTCACCAGACTAAGTTGGTCACTATGTTTTCCTCCTAAATAATTAGCTTTAAAGGCAATCTAAAATACTGCAGAGCCCCAGCAATACTTCAGATAACTTGTACCATGTATTTCAGATGACTTCTGGCTTTTGTAAACAGGCTACTGATTCTAAAATGTTAGGGCTCCAGAACAGGACCCAAGAGTAGGCATTTCCTGCTAAGAATGGAATACCCAGAAATCAGATCACTGATACTCTGCCACAGTGCCCCCACATGCAACAGCCTAGACAAGAACTTGGTAAACAAGGTTTTTTTTTACTCTGTTTACTAAGAGTAAACATTAACCATGTTCATCAACTTTTAGTACGTTGTACACACATTTCAAATATCCAGGGCTATTGTGGGAGGCCCCATGAGATACAATGGGG